TATTTTCCTAATGCGGGAGTTGTCTTTTAAAAAATAAAAAAATCTAATGTAATATTACATACCGAATTTTGGTTTTAGATAAGTTAATTATTTTAGACTTTAGGTTTAGGTTACTTAACGGTGAATGAATACGTTAATAAATAAAAATTCAAATTGACAAAGGTCCTCTGTCGGGTTATCCCAAGAGGTATAAAAAATAAATAAATCGAAGCACAAACCTGTGGTTTTTGAATGCACTATTATTAATAATTGTATATGGCTTTGTAAAATGGTAAATAAATACACACATCAAAGAAGCCTTAGCAACATATACGGTTTTGAACGATTTTTACTATTGTAATATATTTATTTATATTTCATTTATAAATAATAACTAAGGTTCTTTGATGCATTAGTGACTAAAGCAACAAAATCCTTCATCCAATTGTTCATTTAATTTCAATAACTAACAATATGTGTAGCAAAACGAGGACCAATTTGATAAACTTGAGAGACTTGAGAACTTCTATATACGACTAGCTGACCGGCGCAACTTCGTCTGCGTCTCTCAATAGTAATAAATTTTCTCCGTTTTTGAAACATTATTTATTGGTGCTCCGCTCCTATTGGTCTTAGCGTGACGATATATAGCCTATAGCCTTCCTCGATAAATGGGCTATCTAACACTGAAAGAATTTTTCAAATCGGACCAGTAGTTCCTGAGATTATCGCGTTCAAACAAACAAACAAACAAACAAACAAACAAACTCTTCAGCTTTATAATATTAGTATAGATTTATTTTTGGATTTCTCAAATATGATCCTGTTGCCGAATTTCGTTAAAAACTCAAGTGGCTCCCGATTCGGCTTCGCTGGAATACTCAGACCCCCTCATTACTGTATAATACTCTATTTATTCCTGCAACCCTTATCTACTTAAAGAAGCGATTCGCATTTATTCATGACACACATACTCGATACTTGAGATCATCGGAAAATCTGGCCTTAGAAATTCCAACACACTCCACAACTTTTAACTTTTCAGTGCGTACTTTTAAACTACTCGTTAAGGATCACTATCTATCTCTGCAATAACTATGTGCTAAATGGGTATATGTATGTATGTTTATATATGTATTCATATTTATATATGTATGAATGTGTAATTATATATATAAATAATAGTTAATAAACCGTAATTGTAAATGCGCACGTGCGCAAAGCGCGTGAAGCGTGTGGCTTCATGTTACTATATAGTGTGGTCCATCTAAAGGTTGCCTAGAAGGGATCGCAGATAAGGCCGCCCATTGTATCACTGTTTTTTTGTATGTATCCTAATTATGGTGTGAAATAAAAAGTACCTATCTATCTATCTGGTCCTCCGAACTGTCTGTGAGCGAACGCGCATAGTCATGTATCAGCATTCACATTGCATATATATGCATATCTATAAAAACGAGCTCAATTCGTCCGTTCTTCATAGTACCCGCTCATACCATTACTGCGGTGCCACTGCTCCCTGCTCTTCCTGGACGCATCTCAGCCGTTCAGCATTTCCGGTACGCCGATACACTGTTACCCTTCTCGTATCAGGACTAAATCCAAACCGGGACCTATCGCAGAATTAATTTTTATATTACATTGCTCCTGGGTCCATGTCAAGTGTTCCCTACACCATTCGTGTCGACTGGCGCGATCCCTATGGCGTATAGGTGGCCACCTAATTGGGCGTCGTGATCGTAGTCTTAAGCCGTATTCATGCAGCCTATTTCTCATGGTTCAGTGGCTAACAACAACACCGCTTGAGAATTGTAGCTTTAAACCTATCTCTTGGGCGGTTGACATCGGCTGACGTCTTGCAGTCAGTTGTATGTATCGGTCCTGTCGAGCAGTTGTACTACTTCCACGTCTTGGGTGCTGCTTATCAGGATCCTCTATATTAACATAACGCTGCCAAAGACGACAAATTAAGCGACGGACAATTTTTTTTAGCTTTTATTTAAATAAAAACGATACGGATCTCAAAAGTTTCTATTTATAAAATCAGGTAGTTATGTTTCAGAGAACAAGAAGATTGTATACTTACCAATCTACTTTGCTAAAAAAAATATCAAAGAAAAAAAAACATGCAGTAAATGATGCGCGTTGCTTAAACTTTTTTGATGTGTAATAAATAAATGATAATAAATAATTATTACTCGACGTCGACATAATATCGAATATAAGAAATGTACCTCTTCATAAATCACATTGTAAATACGAGTGCGAAAATTTCCCAATGCCTTCTTATTATTTATTTTTTCTAAACCTACACATATGGACACGAATATCAAAAATTGTCTCATACACCATATTGCAGTGAGCAAGTATTGATCAAGTGGATTTAGATACCACCATCAATACAAAGAGTCCTTTATTCCTATGGGACATAATTCCAGCGGGCAACTTGCCAATAACATCGTAGGCATCGGTTATTGGATGTCCTCGTTGAATGTCAAGGGCAACACAAGGACACTCTGGAAAGAAATAGTACAACTACAGATTAGTTAATTTACAAGGCACTTTATGTGTATCACATCTCATTTTATTATTACATTTTATTAAGTAGGTACTGAATTTCGATTTATCAACATTCTATAACAGTCCACTGCTGGACATAGGCCTCTCCTTAGAAAGGAGGTTTTGGCCTACTATACCACGCATATCTATTAAGAGAACTCAATACTTTAAGGGTAATGACATTTTAGATGGAATATATATTTTATTCAAAACATTAAATAAATACACATAAATATGATCGCATATGTTTTAAAATATTATTAGTATGTAATGCTTATGTGGAGCTTACTGGAATGTCGAGGCTTATTAATTTTTAATTCATCAGAGCATTATTTTTATTATCTAGTATAAAGTAAGCCTTCCTTTTATTCTCGTGACATGGAGTCCCTCAGAGCAAAATGAGAGATTGTTGATTCTTATACTTTATAACAGGAAGGACCAAACACAATGTTCTATCTGCAGCACACTTACTTTCCCTTATATTTTTTTATCTTTCTTAAGTCACTATAATTTTTAATACGTACATACAACATCATACGTATGTTATTATAAGAAATGAAGAATGTAAAAAAAAAACATTGAAATGAAAATACTGTTTATGCCTTACATACCTTACTTACTAACATTATTGTCTCTTTGTTTATTATAGAAATATTCAAAAGAATATCCGATAGCTTGTACCTACCTTAATTTAAATTTAAAAAGTTAGATTTTCAAATGGGACATTGTATTCAGCCCACATCCGTTACCATCCATTATCTGCTGAAATTAAACGATATACTTTTACATTTCTGTACATCCAAACAATGAAGAACGAGTAGCTCTAATAAATAATAAAATCGATACGGTTTACCATAGATTTATTAGACTTAGTAATACTGACGAAGATACTATAAATTAGTTTATAACTACATGGTATAAATTCATCATTTTGCTAAATATTTGACAAAACAGATTGTTGCTATTGGGTGTGTTAATCTATGACTTTAGAGTCTAAGACGATTTCAATTTTTTTTATGAAATAAAAATATTTTGAGTTTGAGGATGTTCATTTATTACTAAAAGATATAGAAAATGAATATTTTTTTTGTTCATGTATCTATTAATATTCATTAGTTAGAATCGTTGCACTTAGGTTTTATCTGATAGATCAGTAAATAGACATATATTTACAAGGTCCGAGTATCCATCGGATAGGCCGAACGATATCAACTGTTATATACACAAACAGGATTGACTTGAATGCACTTACTAACTTAATAAATAGAAAAAATATCAACTTAGGAAACTTTGGATCTTGTTTCTGTTTATATTTTTCGGTACCGTTCGGCCTTGCAGAATTTTCAACATACAGCAGTGGCGTAAATTGAATAGTATTTTGCGGTGGTAAAAAAGGAAACCTGTGAAATGATAGGGATCTATCATTTGATAGGCTTACTATGGTACCAATTTTTTATTTTTAATTGTTGTTGTTTTTCAATTACAAATTAATGTCGGTATTTGTTTAATTAATATGCTTTTCTGTATTGATTCCTCTCTGCCCTTACTTTTCTCTATTGTCCTCTATTCGCTTAGGTTCGCTGGAAGAAAACTCAGTTTTGGGTTAAGCTCGCCTTTGTACGTGTCATTTTTTTGTTACTTATATATATGCGTGTGTTCAGTGTATACAATAAAGAATAAATAAAATAAATAAAAAAATACAATTTAGTACAAAGCATACCTAAGGCTTTTTCTTTTTTATAATTAATACAAATTACAGCCACAGTACACAAAGACACATAATCTTTAATCGTTTGACGTTCGAAGCCATCGAGATAAAGACATACATATTTATCTAACGAGTCACGCACTTTAACTTGTATTCACCTTTTACAGACACTGTCGTGCTGTGATGACGAGCTTTCAAGAAATTGCAAGGTGGGGCAATTAGATCCGAGAACTGTTGACAGTTGGCTCACAAAGTTCCTGTTGCGTGCAGCAGTGTCGGCAGGGCGCGCGAACTGCGAGCTTGCGAAGTTCGTTCACTCGTCACTCGGTGTGCGTAGTGTCGGCCAGACGGTTGTGCGTGTCATGCGCCGACGCACTGTGACACACTTGCGCTCGCTCCACCACGTATCCGCCGAGGTGCGATAACCGACCTCCTCCTGCGTGCCAAGTTTCGATTTCATCGGCGCACTCCGTAGTCGCACGTGTGCTACAGGACGCTTCACACCACGGATTCCTCATCTGCGAGACGTGAGACGTCCGAAGAACACGTAAACTAAAGTTGAACGATTTCTACATACATATTTCATACATCAATTTAGTACTGGATACCAGATTCGAACAATAAATTGACGTTTTCGTGACATGTCGTGTAGACGTGCGCTAGACGTGCGATTATAAAATAAACATTTGTGAAAGTTTAATATCAATTTACTGTGTGGAGTGCGGTATAGAGGGTGTAGATTAATAAGTGCAACATGACGTCGCGATCGAAGGAGAAGGTTGCAGCTGCTTTCCGTAAGCTGTTCCGCTCTCCGGAGAAACTGGACAACGATGGCGCAGGACCAAGCGGCTCGCCAGCAAGGCGAGGGATTCTTCGCAGACATCGGTAAGACTTTCTTGCAAGATACATACATAGGTACATTCTCAGTTATAGTAGATACACATAAGACAACATGTTTCCAATTACAACATAACCAAATACTTGGATACAATGATTCATTATAAACAAACAACTAACACAATGCACAAATGAGTCAATTGCTTGATTATGGCGGACGTTACAGGCTGTTGTAACACAAGCCTGAGGTAGATACGTGTTTGATAACATACTGGCGGCGAATGGTCACGTAGCCACACATTCACTTGATCGATTAGCACAATCCTCTCAGTGAAATGATACTCTGTAAGCAAATCAATCAAAGACAATTTCTTGCCGAACCCGACACATCCCTCAAACTTTTCTAAGAAATATAATCTAACCCTGTCATTGTTTATTATGCAGTATTCAAAAAATCCTTCAAAACATATTTTAACTTCAACGCCTATCAATAAGAATAATAGAGTGAAAAAAATATGTCATAAAATTGGTATTAACTTCCAAGTAAATGGAATTATTAAACGCAGACGCTTCTAATCCTCAAATTAGCATGTATATGAATAATTTCTTCGTTATTTAACTACAAAGAACGACTACCAAGATGTCGTAGCATCTATATGTACTTAGAAATATCAAATATAGTATATAATTAGAAATTTCAAAGGTGTGTTTAAAGCTGAAAATAAATACCATTCATCAAAAGTAAATGAAATGCAAAAATAAGTTTTCATTGATGATCTTTACATTACTACATGTATATACGTAATAATAATACTGTATTATCGTTATAGTAGTAGTATTATAAAAATATATAATTAAATACGCATATTTAGATATAAAGATTATAAGGTTCCAGTACATTACCGACTGTTTTTAAGGTCAAGGCGCTTATTTGAAACACGAATATTAGTTACTCATTGCAAAGGTAAGGTTAAGACAGACATGCAGAAGTACCTGCATATATTGCTTAATAACCAGTAAGGAATGTCCATAAAAAACCAGGCTTGATTAATGAAGAAGAACACTATAACCAAATTGCGTTTATCCGATATATATCGCTGGGTATTATATTCAATGTTCGTGTCGTGACGGATTAAGAATATGGAGTGTCTCTACCCCTATTCATCTCATGGGAGTCATAAGTTTATGATAAGAGTAGAGAATGATGAAGAAACAAGAACAAGCTAACATGGGTGGACTACATAAAAAAAGTAGTACCTATGACTAGAAAAGGAGTAAGAAGAAATGACGATCGATAAAGTAGAACCTTAATAAAAGTGGTAAAAGATCAAAACCATAAAGAAACGATGTTTACAAGAATACTTAATGTTTTGAAATAGATAAAGAGAATTAAGATTAAAACGTTACTTTTCGTCCAGGGGGCAAACATATGTTACAATCGAGAAAATTAATAGTGAAGTAATGTAACAACAGTAACCGGAAAATGAATACCGAAGCTACATAACAGTGTCTTATATCATCTGATGTCATGTATACAACGGCAGCGCTTATACACTTTCAGTTTCTTTGAAGTAACAATAGCTAATAACGTGAGCATCTCTGGGAAGTGTGAAACCGATGCTGCGCCATATTATCTCGTCTCCCTTGGCCGATAAACAAAGGCATTGTTTATTTGTATAAGCTCACGGGTAGCAGTTAAATGCGTTGGTTATCGGCGCTACTATGTCTAGACGTAGCAATGTGAAACATTTCAACAAAGACTCCTCCAGTCTGAAGTTGCACGCAATCGCAATTGATGACTTGATATTTTTCTATTTATAGTCTGAGACACATTAGCAGATTGAATAAAGTAGAACACTATTAACTTGACATAAACAGACGTTTACTCGAAATGCTGTAAGAATTCGTATAAAAATCTGTAACTCATACAATGGATCTTAAAATACACTAAGATATTATCTACTATAGTGGGATGAAGTATTCAGATGTTGTCATGGTTATTGTGAGATATTACAATACACAATATGGGGTTTTATTCAAATCCTAAATGCTCAAAAATTTCAAATTCTAAATAATTTCTAACAGTAGGATAATATAAAAGATCCTGAGTAGATGAGAATATTGGTAGTTGTTAGTGAACCCACGGAGCAATTGCTAGTGAACCTATATCTACATTGCGATACGTTTTTGTTTGTTTTCTGACTATCGTATGAGAATTTAACTTAGCTGTAGTTCATAATTTCGTACTTGCACTTAGAGATTGCTAGTAATGTAATAGTTTGCTAGCTGACCCGACAAACGTTGTTCTGCCATATTTAAAAAATGAGGGGTAGGGGTAGGGGGTAAATACTTTACAACCTATTGTCATGCCGTTCACCAAATATACAAAATTCATCATCATCATCTTTTAACCTTTGACACGCTGCTTTGCTTTTACTTTACGCACTGTACAGTTTCGCATATCAAAGGGTAATAGCCCACTGCTGGACATAAGCCTTTCCTTATAAAGCAGGTTTTGGCATACGACGCTGGCCAGACGGATTGGTCTGGGATTTGTTACATGTTTTTCCTCTCTTTGCAGTGCTGTGGGGTGGGGTGCAAAAAAAGCCAAATTTTAGCAATCTGAGTAAAGATCTTTGAGAATATAATAATTATCTGACATTTAAACCAACAGGCCAAGTTCATAGACCTAAGACCTAATTTATCGCTTTAATTTCCGGGTAAACTCTTATCATCATTTTGATAACCTGCGTCTGTATTGATAGTATAAACGAACATCAATCTAAAAAAAAAGATTAACGATGTCATTAATTAAAATTCATCTCTATATCAGATATGTTCTGTAAAATCAAATTTTTAACTGACTTCAAAAAGAAAGGTTATCAATTCGAATGTTTATATTTTTTATGTATGTTTCGGCGTAACTCCGTCACATATAAACGGATTTTCAAAATTCTTTTTTTGTTCGAAGGGACTTTATCCGAAATGATCCCATTTAAATTTCATATAGATCTGATGATGAGTTTTTGACACAGAGAACGGAACTCTTCAAAAAATGACAGCAAATCAACCGCGATTGCTGTTAGGTTTTTAATGCTCTTTGTTAGTATTGTTTAAAGTCGGTTCAACTTTTTTTTAAAGGATTTATAGCTTGTTACACAGTTTGTGCCATAAATATAATGTACATAAATAAAATGCTATTAAGACGTCATATTTTATTTAAGTTATACGGGCACAACAATATTTAAAAAAGGAGCAACAGAGTTAGAAACGTTGTTGCCTAACATGAATTTGAGCTGATGCTGAACATCAAACACTATTGCAAATTTGTATAGGAGCTCTAACAACCCTCGGACTTGCAAAGAGACAAATCCCTCGTCGTTTTTCGTAATACTTGTTATTACTTTGAGAAAAGTCTCACACATTCATTGCAATAGTGACTTCGATTTGCTAATACAGGATACAAGTGTAAAAAAGGCAGGTATTGTTAGTAAAGACCTGTTGCTGAGACATTTATAAGACGCTCTAGAAGTCTTCACGGTTTGTCAGCTATTCTTATATATATCCGTTTCTTTTGAAGCCATCCTTAATAATTCTATTATTAAGGGTGGAGACTAATAATTCCTTACATATAAAAAATATTTATATTCTTACGTAGTAGGCATTTTATTTGAGTAAGCACTTTAAGACCTACATCTCAGTTTTTATTCTTTTAATAATAGAAAAATAAAAGAATTTCTCAAATTCCAATCGCCCACTTGAAATTCTTTTTACTGAAATGATCTAGGTACTACGGCGTCAGCAAGCTCTAATCAATCAAATCAGACAGCTGAATGATCAAAGATAGCTGGATTTTTTTTTCTCATTGATAGTCAAGGGATACTCAAGAGTCATAAATACCATATTGGTTTCTACTTGCTTGTGTATTTTTTTAACCTTGTTCTACTTAATGGCGTCGTACTTAATAGCCTTTCATACTAATCGATTATCTAATTCTGTGCACGTTAATATAGAATAGATAATTAATTATTTATTGAATCCATATTATTTTTTATTAATATTTCCGACTATACTGAAACTGAAAATATAATAAGAAGTAGAGGACCTGGATCTGTGTTACCAATTAGACACTTCTCAGCATTATATCGTTATTACAATAACAATAAATACATAAGTGACCTCCAGCTTACCTAGATAGTCAGACCAATATCAGAAACTTCCTAAATAATAGCAACTTAACTAAACAGAACGCTTGCCTTATGGGAACACAAAAGAACTGCTAGATTTAGTAAGGAAATGTACCCTACAGAAAATTGAAGTAAAATCTTTTCTAACCAAGGTATCCTTATACTACGGTTTACCGAGCCAAAGCTAAATCTAATCCAAAATCTTTTTCATCAAAATTAGACCCTTCAGGAGTTCCTAAATTGAAGTTATGTCTATCATCAACAGTTCTTCCCTTTTTCCTTTTGTACCTATTAATTGATAATACTATCATTGTGGCCGATTTATAAGTACTTAGAGTAAAAGTTTAACATCTGCAAAAGGGGTAATTTTGTTATTAAATACACTTGCTATATATATTCGTAAAGGTTATGTAGATGCTCTTTTACCTTAGATTTGGGGGAATTTCTCTATTTATAAATATGTAGGTAAATAGCTACAAATTCAATCCTAAATACAACATTACTTACGTTTGAATTTCAGCTGTAATTGAGATATTTATAACCGTAATGGAACAAACGTTCTTCGGGTAAATCTTATTGCAGTTGTTACTCAATACCTCATCTTGTCACTTAAAAAAGTTACCTTTACACATCCTTAAATTAGTTTTGCAATGTAGGTCTTAAATCTTTTTGAAAAGAAGTTGATTAATCTGTAACTATCCTTAATAAATACTCTATCCCTTACAAAAAGGATTAGGAAATAACAAGTGATTCAAAAATAGTTTCTGAATTTCAACACAACTTTCATATGAATGTTGTAATTAAAAGGTACAAATGAGTGCAGCATACGTCAGAAGATAAATAACTAAAACCAAATTATCGCTCACTTAACATACACAATCACAGATACATAGTGATTAACATCACTTAAGATTACTGTTATGTCATAATAAACAAACGAGCTAATAATAAATCTACTTGTATTTTTAATGACGAATGAGGTAAACTAACTCATTAGACTAAATACTGTTTTGTTCATTTAGTTTTAAATAAATTAGTCGATCTACAGGAAGCCATCCATACTAATATTATAAATGCGAAAGCGAGTTTGTCTATCTGTTACCACTGCACGCTTAAACCGCTGAACTGTTTTAGATGAAATTTGGTACAGCGACAGTCTGAGTCCTGAAAAATGGCATAGGATAGCTTTTTATTCCAGAAATCACCCTTTAAGTGGGTGAAAAGGGGATTTGGAATTTTGTTTCGTTTAACCAATTTTAATGAAATTTGGCACTTTAATTCTTGGGGAAAAACATAAGCAAAAACCGCGATAACCGACATAAAAGCTAGTTAGATTTATATCACACTAAATTTACCGGTTGCCTTAAATATAACTAGAATGTCAGGCGCTTGCGTACTGCAATAATATTCAATGAATATTTATTTAATAATTAAAAATGACAATATTTTGTTACCATGAACCCATTATAATTAAATTCAAAATCATTACCATCATCTCGGCTGAATAACAAGTTGAATGCATTTCCGTGCTTCATCGACTCATGTACTATGGGTAAATATTGGAATTAGTCCAGAATAGGTCAATATACTTATATCTAAGAATAGTTAATATGAGGTCACCTTGTGTAGGTATGAAAAATCTAGGGCATACATTCCGTTTACATCGTTCCAAAAACTCTTTGTTGTAATGCAAATAAAAACCAATCGCGATGAATAAGTGTCTACCTTATGTTGAGTTTGTTGTTAGAACTAGAACCTTGGAGCTGAAAATGTTGTGTTTAAATCTTATCTTTCCTAACAAATGTTATCCCTTGCTTCATTGCAACTTCGTCTGTGTCCAACTATATCTTATACCTACTGAATTATTTATTTACACATTCGCAAATTATTAAAACAATTGTAATAATACATAAATGTAGCTTACGTGGAGTTTAGTGAAAGATACTTATTTCATGCGTATCACTCTATACAAAATAACAAAGTTTCTTGTAAATTTGATCAGTGAAAACATGACAGGAACCTAAAGTATAGTTATAATAATTAAGTATTTTTGTTATGTGGGACTCAATTTTAATTAATTAGATAAAATGATCATTACTGTAATTGTGGATGAATTTATTTTGTATTTTTTTTTTGTATTATTATTTATTGTTCTTTTCTTTCTTTTTATTTATTTTTTCTCTCAATATGAGTGAGAAAAGAGAAAAAAATAGGGTAATTTGATTGTTGTCAAAGAATGTAATAACAATAACCCAGTGAACAAATGACCTCCAAATGACGTCATAGGTAGGTCACAGACAGATTATAGAATTTTTATATTTATGACATAAAAATGACTTTATTGATGTGTATGATATGATGTGATACAGAATGACGTCATATCGTTATAGTGACATAGAACAGAACAAAAATTTGACTGACCTTACGTAAATATTATGTCCTATCCCTATCATATGTGTGACGTTAGTTACTTACTTTTTTCGACCCTTTTTATTTCGAAATCGTAACAAACTTTTTGATTTATTCTTTTTTATTAGAATGAAATGGAGATTTTTTACAGCCTAAGCTAAGAATCAAATCCAAAAAAATACCTTTAATAACTAGTGAATCATTCTCACAACTCCCGCATTAGGAATATATCCTGTGTCGCAGGGGACTTTACAACACACATACACGAAACGGACACAATGAACACTTATGAGTGTGAGAGAAACTCATTAACATGTCCATCTCATTTTTAATTAAACGCCCCTCGTATCTTTACGTTAATGGTTTACTTTTCTTTTTTATTCTTTTGTTTGTTTTTAAAGACAACTCCCGCATAAGGAATATATCCTGTGTAGCGGGGGACTTTACAAACATACATGAAACGGACACAAAGAACACCCATACTCAGAACAACAATTTCTCGAACACACATAGTGTCGTCCCATGTGGGGACCGGACCCACAACACTCAGCGTAGTAGTAAGCAGCGTGACGACCGCTTAAACCACTACGCCATCTGTGCAGTCAATGTATATTATTATTAAAATATCAAAGAATTAATATATCAAGGAATTATAATATCATAGAAGAAGATTTTTTTGTCCCGTGATTATTAAACGAAAATTACTGTTGAATAGGCTATAAAATACTATATTACCTCAAATTTATGTCATCGACGTAAGCTAAATGACAAGTACGTCAGCAACTTTACTTCGCTATGTCATAGTTTTAGACATTCCGACGCCAGTTAAGTATTAATTATGTCATATTTACGTCATTTACCTTACGTAAGACTCATAGGTCAGGAAGTGGGTAATTATGAGTCATATATGACGTATATCTTATGTAAATCATGACGTGGTATGTCATCATTCTGACATCAGTTTGACATAATTGTGTTCACGTGATACACGTTATATATCACGTTAATGTGATATAATAACATGGGAGCGTCGTCTGCCAACAAACTGCAGTGCAGTTTGGCAGAAGTAATTAATTATTGTAATAAGTTTTTGAATTTAAATAAACAATTATTATTATAATATTTTTGTACATGCGGTCGCGATAGTCACTTTTGTAAATAAAAGCTCAAGTTTTAATATTAAAACTTTTAATTAACAAAGTTGCAAAGCTGCATAATACTTTGTTTATCATATTGTGTATAAATTAATTTCCATTTAGAATCTTTCGCGATCGCCGGTTGTAAAGTAGAACAGTAAACATATTATAGGCACCTATTTAGATAACGACTTCAGACTTCAATGATTACGAAATCAAACTCCTCACATTCTTAAGTGTAAGCAGTATACATTATAATAAGTGATAAACTTTAGAGTGCCTATTCGTTTGTTTATGAATGAAGTATTTCGAGACAATTATACATGAATAGCCTGAGACAACAAACTTAATGTAGTGTGGTTTAGGTTTTTTATTACAGGCATAGAGCCGTCTCGTCCAAAGGACAGTCCAGTCTGGCAGCACAAAAAAATTCTGTTTAAATTACGATAAACACTTCAACAGTACTGAGCAGAACGCTTTATGCACATTCTCACAAATGTGCGAACAATTGTTCTCCTACTCACAATAAATGACAAATTTTGTGTATAAATTGTGAGTCTTATTATCATCGAGAACCGATGTTCATAAAAATATGTTGTCTAATACGTGTCCATATTATTACATTTAACAAATGTATTCTCAAATACCAGAGGAAAATAGCCTTTTGGTAGCAAATGTCAAGCAAAAAATTACATTTCAGTTTTTCCTTGCCGAATAACGTTCATTTCCCACTCATTAATTGCTCGATATTGAATGACGGATACTGTTTATTTACCAAAGGCTACTCTAACCAAACCTGATTTCATATTTAGGCAAACTCTTCGCGTCCTTAACTTATTTGTACGAGTTATTCTCACGAGGCCGCATCACAAAGTCAAAGAACTGAACACTTTGATGATGGATTTATGTTCACTGACATGCTACACTGAAAGACATACGAATATAGGTGATTGCCCTCTTAACGAGTCCGTTGCAAATCTTGTTTGTTTCGTGGTGTCTGTAAAATAAACCAAATACTTGGTGGTCTATTATTAAAAATAGAATAGGTTAGCAAGGTCTTCCTTATTGTTACTCTAGTTTATTTGGCTAATGATCAGGCAGAAACAAAACCAATTTTTTGAAGTAGGCAGTCAATTTTTAATAGTTATTAAAGATCTGTTGACAAACAGCCAGCCTTATTGGCTGGCTGTTTGCCTACAGCAAACCATTTTGAACTTTTCAAACAATGTATTAAAAAACAGAATGTATTCTAAGATGTCGAAATGTTTTACCTTATAACTTAATCTCAATAAAATTTCTAAGCATTATATTTTTCACAGGGATGGTGTGAGCCCAGCGGAGGCTGCAGCCAGTCTGCCGGCTAGTCCTGCAGCTACGACCCTTGTTAAGAAGAAGGCAGGAGGAGCTTCTGAAGTTAGAGAGCGCGCAGCAGCAGTACGAACACGTAGGCTGATGAAAGAATTGAAAGAAATACAGCGGCTACAGAACAGTCGAACTGATCCTGCCTTCACGGTAAGAAATTATACATGTTCAATGTTTAGTGAATGAGTTTGGAGATTATGAGACCAAGCTTTAAAATCTTTTTTTTTTACTATAGTCGAAAGACAAGGACTATTTTATGTGAAACGGTTATCGCTTCCTATAAACATACATTCACATCTACTTATTAAAAAAAACTTCCGGTATACTTATCTTTTGAAGAATTTGGTTTGCATAGTACTATAGTTAAACCGCCGTAAGCTTGGCCCTCCTGATGGTTTGCGGGACGCGGGGCGGGTGATGCGCTCGGCTATACATGACACGATGTACTAACTCGATATCTTCAGATTTATTTGTTTGAGATTTAATCTACACACGATGTAATAAAAATCTAATTTATTTCCATGTATTATAATGTCAGTGTATTGTAAGTTTTAATGATTAATTGTAAAATTTAATACTGTAAAATAATTTTAATAAAATCACCTTATCTTCATCATGTAAATTATATTCAGATACAATTTTAAAAATCAAGTAAAATAATAACTATTCTTTATTAGAATTTTAACAGTAGAACCTCTGTAAGCCGAACTTCAAGTTTTTAAATCTTTTTGTGACGCAGAGTCGGCAGATTATCCATGTTGCAAAATAATACCGTGTGTAGCAGTCTTAAGAAAATAACACGTACAGTACAGCCATTCTTTCACGTCAGTCACTGCCGGCGGACAGCGACGCACTAGCTAATTGGTTGAATGCATCCCCGCCCCGCGTCCCCCAAACCATCAGAAGGGCCAAGCTTACGGCGGTTTAACTACATTTTTTTTATTGTTATAGGACCTAGTAGTCAGGATTATTTAAGAAGTTTCCGTAAATAAGAGGCTTGAGGCGGATTTGCATACTTTATTAGAAGCGACATTCTACTGCTGTGCTATTGTTAATAAGTAATAGGAACATCATAATCGGCAGTTAACTAACCGGTCGTTATGTTCGGACAGATTTCGATAAACAACTTAACAGGGACGTAATTGAGGCAATAAAGGCACTAGCACCGGCCAAACTGAATTATATAGACAATACTTTTTTCTCGTACTTCTAACGTCACACAGGATACGAGGTTTATACACTTTGACAATTGCAATTTTAGTAAATATTGAAGCAGTAGCTCAGCATCATCATAGCTTTTGCATGGGGCTTCCTCGCGCTTTTAAATAAATAATGATCAATTGAGAAGTTAAGGAAGCAAAAATGTTACAAAGAGTAGAATTTATTTTGGCATTAATAATATTAGTTTATGGTTACAAGCACATAATATCTTCTGATTTTTAAGTTGTATACAATTCTACCAAGAATTATAAACAAATAAGAATTGCAGGGTAATAATATTTTCATACAATAATATTTATAGTAAGAAAAACTAAATTGATTGTTAATTTATTTCAGGTGGAACTCGTGAACGATAACCTGTTTGAGTGGCATGTTCGACTGCATCAAATAGACCCGGAAAGCGAATTGGCAAGTGACTTGCGCGAACTACACATTTCAAACATACTCTTGCATCTCATTTTCCCGGAGAATTTCCCTTTCGCGCCGCCTTTTATGCGGGTCATCGAACCTAGAATAGAGAAAGGATTCGTAATGGAAGGTGAGTAAACTATGTGATAATAGGTAAATATAACGTAAACTCTACTCTTAAATTTAGCGGGAGCAGAGAGAAGCTACCACACGTAAATTAATTTTGAAACGCGTCTTAAGCTGTTAAGAAATGAGTTTTTTTAAATTTTATGGAAAAGGTTTACATAATATTTTGTGTTTGCCAATTTCAACGTAATGGTACTACTACTATGTGGAAATGTGTTTATTCTTTATAGCTGTACCCTGTCACGCTTCGCTGTGACACATTGTGCTTGCATTGATAAGAAATGATAAAATTGACGCGAAAAATAGATAAAAACCATCTATGAAGCGGGTTGTATATCGTGTCACAATTTCAGCTCAATCGGTTCAGAACTTTTGGGTTTTTGAAGCTTACACAAACCGTACACAGGCGGTACATAATAAATAATGTAGATTGTAACAAGGAAATGTTATGCACAAAAGGAGCATAACCCACATCTGAGTTTTATTCCACTTGCGTAATAGTTTTTTTACACGGGTTTCACTATAGACGTCTATTCTTAGAATATACACATACACATAGCCGGGCACCGTTAATCAAATAGTTAACTTCGTTAATCGTTAATCCGCTACAAAAAAAGTTAGCTTCGTTTAACGTTAAAGCGTTACATTTCGGCAGAATTAACGCAAGTTAAAGTTAATCGTTAATCCGTTAATATGTGTAAAATTGCAACTATATATCGTTGCGTTAGTGAACTTATAAAACCTGTTGGTTTATATTCTGGAAGTTAACAGGTTAGGAACAAAACAAAATACTTGTATAATTCAAATGTGTAATTTAATCGTCGGGCATAAGGTGCATATTCCCCATCATGAACATTGACATGTTGAAGTTCTCGTCTGAAAGCGAGGCTCGTTTTGGTGTTAAAATGTCTTTACCCGTGGAAAAAAGACGTTCAAATGCAGCGCTTGAGGGTATAGCAGTATTGTATTTTATTTGTTCCCCGAGAAATGCAGCATCGTTGAACGAGTCTTTTGATTTCATGTCCAGCCACATTTTAACGAGACTTTGCGCTTTACTCTTTAAAGAGTTGGAGTTCTTTGGTTTTTCTATAGACTGAGTGACAGAATTGAAAAAGTCTTCCTCGTCATCATCGTTGTTACTCGCATTGCTCCCTCCGCCACTTAAACTATCTCTGTCCTTCGAATTTTCCGCTGCTTCTTGTCGTAAGGCATCTTCTACCTTTTATTCCATGCACTTTTTTACTGTATCTACTCTACTGCTGTCATACGTTTCAGGCCATATCAACCGGAACTTAGGGTGAAATGCCGCGGCAAGTACTTAGGCACTGTTCATCATTCAGGAGTGGTCTAAACCTTTTCTCTATGCCATTTAATAAGGCATTGGCTAAAGCTGTGCAATTTACTAGGCCCTTCGATTTAATATTTTTTAATTTATAGACAGTTGCTGCAATCGTCGGTAGTAGTGATCCGAGATATGCTTTGCCACGCGCCGCCCGGCACTTGTCGGTGCCGTGCGGTAACTATTAGGTCTATTAGGCATTGGATTAACGATTAACGGACTTCTGCACATATTAACGGAAGTTAACGTGTCCGTTAACATTTTTAAAAGTTAATCCGTTAATCAAAATGTTAACCTCGTTAATTAACGATTAACGGATTAACGAGTTAATCCCCAGCTATGCACATACAGTACTACTGTGCTTTAACCTGTATTGTTACCACGAGTCCACATTTTGCAAAAACCTATGCGAGGGTACACTTATATATCTGTGTCTCTAGTCGTGGAAAATTTGAATATCCACACCGATTGATTACTATAAAAAGTATAATGTAACCGTTCAGTGTCAATTATTTAACGAAAATGATGTAATATACAAATGTTTGAGTGATGAAGTATAATATTTTAGTGTATTAAGTGAAAGAAATGTTCTCATGTAAGTGAAATGTAAATTTCTTTTTGAGAAAAATAAATTCTTTACCCACATATATGCCTAAAATCGACTAAGTATTCAATGAATAATAGTTATTTATACCATACCTTGAACACATTACATGAAGCGCTAACATTATATAGGTTTAGCAACGATTAGGTGGTAGGTATCAGCTATTGAAAAGTAGTGTACATTGCGATGATCTCATCATATTATGAATACCAACGCACTAATGTATCTATTAACAAACAGAATTAAAGCTAATTGAGATTTAATCGTAATTGATCAACAATATACCAAGTACTTGTTCCAAAACAATATAATCATTTTTTTACGGGTTTTCTACTGCAATCAATTAAAAAAGTGGAGTGAGCTCTATAGAATAGCCAGTATTCTTTATTATCTAATAATTATATATTTGTATTCAGGAGGTGCAATATGCATGGAGCTGTTGACACCACGCGGCTGGGCCTCCGCATATACAGTAGAAGCTGTAGTGATGCAGTTCGCGGCGTCAGTGGTAAAGGGTCAGGGCCGAGTGGCGCGAGCGCCGCCAAGGCCTTCTTGCGAATTCAGCCGACGACGCGCTGAAGAAGCATTCCGATCTGTTGTCAAAACACATGACAAGTATGGTTGGGTCACACCGGCACTCTCCGACGGTTGAGGTTATTACTTACAAACGCCTATATTGATTAAAACTCACACAATTTAGAACTACCGTAAATTACATTATTAGAGGTATGACCAGAGCTTGACTTGATATATGGTTATCGTAAACAACTAAGGATCTCAATGCTACTACTATCAAACTGGTTCATCTGTAAAAATCTGTGCTGTACAAAATAGATTTGCCACCCTCAAAATTTTTATTAGTTAAAACGTCTAGTGTAGTAAACTAGGCCAGTATACAATGCGTCACATCGTCGGATATATATATTTTTATTATAGCATCAAGAAATATTCATACCGCGATGCACGCAACGATTCGTGACATTGACCGAAATGCGAGTTCCACGGCGTATTAAATTTCGTAAGAGTGCCATTTATCAATTTAGATGATGATGTCGGTCAATTGGATGAGAGGTGCTTGATCTAAAGTGTTACCACATATAAATAAGTATCGTATCTACTATAGGATTGTGAGTTAGCATCTATCTTGTCAACATCGTCTTCCTGTTTTTCCAATTTTATTTGTAGTCTTCGTAATATGTTTATTATATTGCATTGGCCGGTTTATTCAATGACCATCCCCCAAGCTGCTGCATGCCTTCTTTGGGAGATAATCATTTCGAAATGGAACAGGTGGATAGCGTGAAGGATCTAGAGTCGGGGGTAACATAAGTCTTGATTCAAAAAAGGGGCTGAAACTGCAGTAATGGAAATTTAAGTTTGTAAGGCCCGGGTTAAATTTCCATAATTTTCCGCCTGTAATTGGAGATACTATAAGTATCTTTATATAATGCCTATATATTAAAATTAACTTACCTATGTATCAAATAAATAAGTATTAGGTACACATATCACATCTTTCTTTGTTTATGTTACAGTTCGTGTCGGCCAACCTTAATGCAGAGAAGATCTTTTTAGTTATTCTTCTTCAAGAACAATTTTAGTCATAACTAGTGCAAATTTTGATAATGCTCTGCTCTGTGTAACAAAATTAGTTTATAACATTTTGTCTAAGATCAGTGGTATGTGTTATGTTATAAAAATGTATTGAAGAAGTTAAGATTTACGTTAAATGTTTAAGGTCAGGGTGTAGTAACAAGAGTGATGCAAATGGAAAAAGAACATAAAATATTATTTAACTTTGAACAAATTAATAAGTTTTAGTCTAAAAATACAATTTCTCATTGATGTTTCAAGAGTTGTAAAAAGTATGTAAACGTTACATTATTTGTCACAGATATTTTAAGCACAAAATATTTTAGGTGCCTAAGTGTCACCGAGTATTATAACATTAAAGTTCCATATTTATTAATAACAATTTTTAACAAAAGGGAGATGGAATTTTCATAAAGCAAATAAAGCCTTTGTGCTACTGCTACTGTTTGAAGCACCCAAGGCTTAGAGGATAATTTAAAAGAAAAAATAAGTTTAATATAACATACATTCATTTTATCAGGAACAGGCACAGCTAAAACGTTGAAAGTCAATGTGAACGTATATGTACTCAGTAGGTACTTTGTCAGTTGGATAAAAACAAACTTATTAATTTGTTCAGTGGGAGGTTCTTTGAGATTATGGAAACAAGTGAGATAAACTATCACATGTTAGGCTGGATTGTTTCTAGATTGCAAGCAATTAAAGAGCGATATTATAATGGATAAAAGTAACATATTAAAAAAAGATCTGTAGAGTTATTTAATAAATGTAAAAAAAATATACATAGGTTTCCATTCAATCTGTTAAAGTGTAACCGGTTAAGTTGTGCCAAACTCGAATCGCTGTACATCGTTAAGCTCAATTTTTTCTAATTGTTTCACTTGACGATTATCTACTTATTCTATAAGTGCTCGATAAAAAATCCTAAGGATATAGATATTGACAAAAATAACATATAATTTTGCTGATTAAAATTTCGATCTTTTAAAGGAAATGTTTCCGTCCCAAAGTCATTTAATCAATTTGATAATGTTATAAACTCGTAGTTTTTTAAATCTAATGACTCTAATTATGCAGCAACGCGTTTTATCTTTGATCAATTCTTTGTATTTGTTCTGACCTACTTTACAATATTTGAGATAAACGTAATTTTGTGTAATATATGTATAATTCATATTGAAACAATGTAGGCTCTTTATGCTTTATGTAAAATTGTAGTGAAAACACTGCAGTTTTTTATGAGTAGTTAAATGCTCAAATTAGTTAATAATTGTAAATTGTGAAATGAAAGGCTTGTGGTAAAATTAATGTAAATTAGAAAAATATAGAAAATTGATGTTGTTAATTTGTGTGGTGAACCAAAGATGTTTTATTTTTATGTGAACTTCATTCAGCGCAAATGTGTATAAATTTGATTATATGTACAATGTTAAAGGTGTATTAATAAATACCTGCTCAAAACAAGTTTTGTTAATTTTTATACCACTTTAACCGTCAAGAACGAGGGTCCTAAAATTGGTTAGTTCTGAGTAGTAATAATAATTTTTAAAATGCCACTCCCAGGAGAATGAAAAAAAACAGGCTATATATTTATATACGATTGTCATGGCATAGGGTTGCTACATTTTAGAAGACACTAATATTATTGATTTCTAATTTAAGCTTTGCTTAGTTTGCTTTGCAAAACGTATCATCAACAGCCTTTAATAGCCCACTGTTGGACATAAGCCTCTCCTTAGAAAGGAGGTTTTGGCCTACTATACCACGCTGGCCAGACGGTTTGGTATAGGGTTTGTGTCAAGTTTTCCTTCTCTCTGCAGTGCTGTTGTTCTGCGTAGTTTTCTCCCTTAGTCGTCTCTTACGACACCCACGGGATGAATAGGGGTGGTGACACTCTGTATTCTTAATCCGTCACCACACGGGCAAAACGTATACGTGTATAAAAACATATACAGTCGACATAAACGAAAACTGATTTTGGGGGTCGACGAGGTCTAAAAATCGGCCCCTATCAATTAACACAAGTTCTTATTTAAAAGTTTCTGATCAAGATACTGTATTATTTGTGTTACGTGTACCAATTTGTTATAAGAAATACTTATATTTTAGTAGGGAGTATCATTGTTGTACTTTAAAAAACTCAACCAGTAAATAAACGTGCAGTAATTTGGCTATAGGGGGTCTGAGGTCATGTCATCAGTTCATTTTAGAGAAGGGGTCTCTTATTAAAATAGTTTGGGAATCCCTGTTGTAGATGAAATGGAAGTGGGTAAAATATTAATGATGCTTATGAAGGATTATATAAGGATTTTTGTCATAAAAAATCAGTACGAGAAGAAACAATGGGTAGTCTAGGTGTATTGAAGCTACAGTAGTGTAAAAATAAATGTATTAATTATACACAAATATACATTCACACACATACGTAATACGAGGGGTGATCAATAAGTAATGATAATCGAGTATTTCTAGAACGCACAAAAACCCAAATTATTTTTTTTCTGCTTGCTTATATATCCACTACTTCAGCTTCAAAAAAATGTATAAATAGGACACCATTACCGGGAGATACATTCATTTGAATACGAACTGTCGAAGAGAAAACATCAAAGTGGAGAAAAATGAAATAAGAGCTGTCATCAAGTACCTCTGCCTGAAAAAAATGTCTACCAAAGACATACACAGCGACTTAGAGGAAACATTGGGGGAGTCTGCTCCTCCATATTCCACAGTCGCACGCTGGGCAAAGGAATTTAAGCTGGGCAGAACCTCCACTGAAGATGAACATCGCGAGGGACGCCCTTCCACGTCCCTTACTGGAGAAAACGTCAAAAAAGTGGAAGATATCGTGTTGGCCGATCGAAGGGTGACCGTAAGGCATGTAGCTGAGGTCACAGGGATCTCCTATGGCAGCGTTCAAAAAATCATTGTCAACAAAATGCAAATGAAAAAGGTCTCTGCGCGTTGGGTACCGAGAATGTTAACCGACGAGCAAAAAAAGAAACGAGTCGACATTTCGAGGGTGAATCTTCAAAAGTTCCAGGCCGATAAAGATTTTTTTTTGTCGCGTTTTGTGACCATGGACGAGACCTGGATCCACCACTTTGATCCCGAAACCAAACAACAATCAATGACTTGGAAACGAGCTTCCTCACCAACGCCGAAGAAATTCAAAGTGTCAAGTTCAGCGGGAAAGGATATGGCGTCTGTTTTCTGGGATGCAGAAGGAATTATTATGGTGGAATATTTGGAAAAGGGGGCCACTATAACAGGCTCTTACTACGCAGGCCAAATAAGAAGATTGCGAGAAGCTATTAAGTCAAAAAGACGCGGTAAACTGCGCGCTGGAGTGCTGTTTCACCAAGACAACGCCCCGGCTCACAAAGCCGCAGTTGCGATGGCTGCCATTGTAGAAACGGGGTTCGAACTGCTCGAACACCCTCCCTATTCGCCAGATCTAGCTCCCAGTGACTTCTACCTCTTTCCTCGGCTCAAAGAACACCTCCGGGGCAACAAATTTGAGGACAATAGTGAAGTGATGGCCGCAGTAGAGGCATTTTGGGAGGGTCAAGACAAAGATTTTTTTTCTAAGGGAATCATGGGCTTAGAAAAAAGATACACTAAATGTATTAACTTGTAAGGAGACTATGTTGAAAAATAAAATACTTTTTTTAATCTAATAGTTCTGTTTCATATTGATTATCATTACTTATTGATCACCCCTCGTATATACGTACAATACCTGCACCTAATACACTTTATGTCTGTATAATAATTATTTATTTAAAAACCGTAGAGCTTTCTGTCATTCAAAAAAATCACGTCGCACAGGTTTACACGTCAAATGAAAAAAAAACTGATTTGACGCTACCAGTATCTGTTGAAGCAACCTGAAAACTTGAACTAAATTGTAAGTTCAACTTTTCAGGTTACCTGGACCGATGGTATTAGCGACTTCGTTCACATCAAGAAATATGTTCAGCACATGTCGTTGGTCCGTTGCTATTTTTTAACCGACTTCAAAAAAGGAGGAGGTTCTATGTTCCACTGTTTTTTTTTTTTTTTTTCTTCTTTGGTTAATGTTCACATAAATTATGTTATTCTTCATTCAAGTTTAGATTAGATTGTGCAGTTTACAATATTTCCTCTTTATTTTTACATTTCTTGAAGTACAGTATGTAGTTCTATAGATTATGTGTTCGATGAACGTTAGTTCTAACTTTGCATTTTCTTACAACTCCCTAGACGTAAAGCGTGACAAAACAAATAAGTATGTATGAAGAGCAGTGACAACGACAACGTTCACTCTGAGTACACTAAACTTTAGTCTCAGTTAGGCAGTTTTGAGAATTTATTCCTCGCATTGACTATCCTAAGCACACCACATATCCATTTCAACATACACATTTCAGCTGCCTCAGGGGGCCAAGAGCGAGTTCAATTTACATCATCTCACTCTCGACGGCGACGTATAATTGTAATGTAGATGTATAATTGTTAAGTTTTTGCAGAAGCACTAATAAATAAATAACAGCCAATGGAATTATAGCGTCTATTCTAGTATAATACCCATAATGATATTAGTATGAAAAGGTACGATTAATTCTTTTAGAGGGACTGATGCAACGTATGCATGAATAATATCCTAAATACCTTAACTACACTGACGAATTACGGAATCAACACAATTATGTAATTATTGCCGTACAGCTGTTTTTGAATAGCTTGTCAATCTTTATATCCAAATATGAACTTTTACGACAAATAAAAAGAATTGTCATAAGGGCTCAGTGCAGCGTACCCGCGATGAGGACCAGTGGTCGCGACACTTGCAGCGATCAGTGACAGAGGTGGATTGCTATTACGCACCGCAATTTATAGTAATCTATTTCATTTTAATAATTAATGCAGGTGACTTAATAGAATCAAAAACATGGTACTAACCCCAAGTCAGCTCTTTATCACGCACTGCATGGCACAGCAAAACTACTAAGTGTAAGTGTCTTGTGTGAACTTAAGTGATCGCTTAGGTTTTACAGGTGAACATTTAGGAACGTATACTTGGATTAATAATATTGGTATTAAGCAATAAATGAGGTATATCAAAAGGTTTGTATGTAGAACACTTTATTGTACGTAAAACATTAAAAACAATGTATGTACAGATAAGTCATGTACAAAGGCAAACATCCCTTTAAAGGTAAAAGTCAGACCTACCTACTATACTGATGTTTATATCATCATGCAGTAAGTATGATTCTCCCATTCAACTCTAAAATTCGTCATCTCACTTTTTAGTGTGCGAGTATATGGCTAGGAAGGGGAGTTCCTAGCCTTATCCTCACAAAGTCCATTTACCTTTTCTTTGATTTTCCTCTTCTCTTGTACCCCTTAACTACCTTACCTAAAACTTTGTGCATGACATGTCCATACCAAGATAACCTCCAAGGACTCCAAGGGCGGCAACGCACTTGTGACTTTTGAGTTGCAGGTGTCCATGGGCGGAGGTAGTTGCTTACCATCAGATGACCCGTCTGCACGTTTGCCCTATTATACCATAAAAAAAACTATTACTTCTTAACTTTTCATCCAGTGGCGTACTTTGTCTGTACTTTGACTGTTGTGTAATAAAATAACATAAATAAAAATATAAATAAATAACAATTTAATTTATAATCATTTTCCAGCCTCAGTTTCCGCAAAAGTATCAATGACATCGGTTAAATCTAGGCTTGATGCGGCTTTATTTTCGATTCCTATAAGCGATAAATGTCGGTTGGCCTATAGTATTCCTTGAATATTTTTTTATTATTTTTTATTTGCTAAACGATCTTTCAGCTTCTGAAGAAATGACAGGAATTGTATGGAACAGGAACACATACATTTCTGTAAATACTTCTGTTAGGTCCCATTCTAGCACTCCATATTTGCCCATTATTTCTTGAATTGGTGTGATATTATTATTCACAGGATTGGTGAATAGTTATTGCCTTAGTTAAAAACAATGTAATTTAATAAATATAAATTTAATGTAAAAAACACTGTCTTATTTGACTAGCGTAGTACTTAGTATAGGCGAAATCGCATTGGAGGGAGCATAGAGCTCTGAAATATTTCAAAAATTTAACGAAATCATTGTCCTATCATTATTTACTAATATGCCAAATTAAAAAAAAAACGGTAAGTCTGACCTAAAGTGGTGGTGGGAACTTATTTTATTTACATTCCAAAGGTGGGAGAATTTTTAGCTAGGTTTGCTGGTTAGGGTCCAAGGGCCCCCCAAGCTTGGGGGCTCCAGTGCACAGTCTGCACCGTCTAGTCCTTCGGTAGCTACACGACTGCAGACATGGGGTACGGCAAGGAGGACTCCAGATCCCGCCGACGCGTTCTTGGACCCTCTCCTGACTGCCGAGTTAGGCCGCCGCGCGGTTTTTTGGATAGACCGCTTCCCCGGGAGACCCACACACGCCCTCTGTTTCCCCGACAGAGGGTACGGTGCGAAAATCATGCCCCGTGTTAAAAAAAAAGGTACCTATTGCTAATTTTAGAAAAGGCGGATACAAGTGGAATAACAAACTCTATTCTATACTTTATTTTGTTATGTTTCGTGGCTATTTTGTGTGTCTAATTAATGTAATTTATGCTCTTTAAGCTAATTAAGTAAAACATTGTATATTAACTTTTAAACTTTCGCGTTCCATGATAATTAATATTATTTTAACGGTAATTAACGCGATCTCTTATTTAGGGTATTACATACCTCTGGTTTGCCTGACGTTTCGACCAGGTTGCACCAGCCGTGGTCACAGGCTGACTGTCAGTCACTTCCCGTTAAAATAATATTAATTAACATTGTATATGGTAAGAATTCTGTATTCCGAACTTGTGTATCATGAATCTGAGATAATTCCGTGCACTAATCCATTTAGTAGTTGTAAGTTGTCTAAAGTATAGTCGATTTGTTCAGTGGACTACATGACACAGTCATTTTATTTACGTCTGTGATATGTTTGGGTTTTACATGTGTCATTTATTATACTTTTTTTTAAGAAATTATTATTATTATTATGGTTTGTTTCCAGGTTAATCATGAAAACAAATAATGTATTTAATTATATAGGATCTCATTATTTATAATAGTTTCCATTTTTTTTAAGTTTGTGGTAAATAAATTCATAAAATACTACAATTAATACCATATGAATAAAGATGAGCCTAATTCTATTTTAAATAGGGGCTGTAATTGTAAAATTAGATGATGTCTAAACAAATCGTAAGTCATCTATATCAATGGCTGAGAGCAGAATTATTTTTTGACATAATATCCCACGTTCAAATTATTCCAGATAGCGACCTGGTCAAAACATCAAGTAATTCAAAGACAAATACATAGAAAGATTGATTACTAGTTCTTGTGTAAGTCCATAAATTGTAATAAGTCAAGCACGTTACTACAAGCTACAATGGTCTAAAAATAGTCACAAAATATGGAAGATATTAATTAAAAGATGGGTAGTACATCAAAATTACTTTATACAAGAAATGAAAAATGAAATTAATATTATAAATATAAGTGGAAACTATCACAAGCCAGATCAGAACCCTCCTCTCAAAGCCAGTACCAAATGTAACACTGATCCTCCTTGGACCTTATAGTCTTGTGCAGTCTTCTCATCATTCCTGCAATAAATATAAGTCAAACGAATTACAGGCAAATAGCGGCTTTTAACTAAAGACTTTACTGTACTGTACTGTACACTTTGTACTGATAAAACTTTTTAAATAACTGAACTAAATATATAAATCATTTCACAATTTAACTTCAGTATTCTATTTATTAATTGTTGTCTACTGCTGACTACTTTAAATATTGCACATAAGAAACTTTTATTCTGGTAATGTGTATAAAAATAAAGGATCGGCGAAATAGTTATTTATAAGCAAAATGGTGACTTACATTTGTTTCCCCGAAAATATAAGACGCTGTTGTTGTGGTGGAATGCCTTCTTTTTCTTCGACTCGTTCTTTGATTCTTTCTACTTTATCTGTGGGTTCTATGTCTATTTCAATTTCTTTTCCAGTGAGCGTCTGCAATTTTCACGAGGTTAGAATAAGAAATAAGCGAGTTTAAAAATCAGAAACAATTAGTCTTACCTTCACTTTGATCAACATTTTGAAAGAATTATGTATGAGTCGACTTAAATAACAACTATATTCTGCAAATTATGCTTTTCTTATATTGTAGACTCACAGACTGACACAGTACTTTTTACCTGCTTTATTTTGACAGTTTTGATTTGACAATAAGTTACTGAACAAAATACTCCAAATAACTTAATCGTTGCCGCTGAAACTTAGTCGATTCTATTTAGAGGAACGCCTAACTTTGCAGGTTTGCTTTTTTTGCACCATTTGTATTTAATTTTGTCAATTTCGATATGTTATTAGATATTTTATTTTGTAATCATGATCCCGCAAAGTAAAACAATGACTATGAGAGCATAACAATATACATAAACATTTAAAACTCGTGTATATGTTTAAATGCACAAGCAGCAAAATAATTTGTTAGCCGGGATTCTGAACGATATCAGTTAAAACTGAATATATAAACAATATGAGGAATTTGTACATAAAAATCAATTTAAAATTAAAACATCAAGCTTAACTAAATGTTAAAATATAAAATAAAAGCATTATCTATTAATAAACATTTTTACTTTTTGAGTAATTTAAAATTAGATAAATAAATATCGTAGTATGGTTCAACTAAAGAAAGAAATGAGACACAGTGTATTAGAATTGATATCATAAGTCTGACAAACATGTTACATATACGACTATCACATTACATTATTAAATTACATACACTTGTTAAATATTTGAAATAAAATGAAAATAATCGAGGTTAGAATGAAACTTAAAAACTACGTTTGTTCAGAGGAGAGTAAACTTTTAGGTTTACATTAACTAAATTCGTGAATTCACACATTCCAACGATCCGAACACTAATACCCGTAATTATAACTCTTGTCTAAATAAGAGGCATGGTTAGTAACTAATATCAACATGTAAAAATTGTGTATTATAACTAGTGATCGGAATTTAGGTGCTATTTGAGACGATACTACTAGTATGGATATGACTAGTATGAATTCCGGTAATTATGGTAAGGCCTAAAAATATTTGATATTATTTAAAATATGTGGAAATCGCGTTTATTTAAGGAATACGTTTATTCATTAGTATTAAACGTTTAGATTTAAACAGTAGAGACTAACAAATGAATAGATAGGATCATCCTAAAAAGTGCAAATATCATTTATCATTTATAATGATTGTTTCATTTACTTACTAAAAAAATCCTTATTTATATATTTTTATTGCATGAAGTATGAATTAAATAGAAAAAAACGTTGGATAGAAGCACAAGAATCATTATCATTCAGAATTCTGATTCCCGCAACATTTTTGGTCAATGTACCGATTCCCAGGAATTTTTGGTCATATCCATACTTTTGATAGTAATAGGACCCAAGATTCCGATCTATAATTATAACCAATGATATTTTAAGGAAGATACGTTATATTTATACTGCACTCACAAAATATTTGTTCTGGAACCGTACATACATCTATTAATGCAATTTAGAACAAAACATACCCTTACCTGTGGTCTGATATTCCTTTATCTTTATTTACCTTTCTATAGTTTGTGCACTTTCAGAATATACAGGAAGGCATTTTATAATTTTTCTTAAATTTATTATTACACACTTGCAGTGGTCCTAATAGGACCCTCGCGTTATTTGCGTTGATGACGTATCTACCTCTCCTTTGTTTATTATAATATCATTGATTTTAAACAATGAACACAATTTTTTATAAATTAACACTACAACATACTTCCATGTAAAAAAAATATACGTTATACATGTGAGAGGTTTGAAAGCCAAAATACGAAATTTTAGTTGTATAGGTGCGAGAAAAAAGTTCTTAGGTTGACTGGCAACCCTTGCATTGATTGATTTGACTTTTAAACCCATCTATGTTTTCGACTGAAAGACTTGTATCTATGGTCATGAATTAAAAAAAAAATGATTTGACTTTTGAGTTGAACCACAGAAGAAAATACACAGAGTACATTGTAATATACAAGAAAATAGTAACCTAAAGTTTATAATAACATTGGCTAAGATTCTAATAAGCAGTAATTTGCTTTTATCTATATTTTGCACGTACTTTCGTACTTGAAAAAATGTCTAAAGTTAATTCAATCTTTGAACGTATTGAGAGCATTACAAACGCAGGTAATTTTTGTATGTAATTGCCTACTAAAAATGTAAAAAATTGTTATTTCCTAACATTATTTTCTTTGTTTTAGAGAGCCAATGTGAATTTGTATCTGTCTTAAAAAGTGTAATTATGAATGAAAACCAATGCCTCTCACAGGAAAACTTTTTGTTATTAAAATCATTCCTGCAAAAAATGTTTGATTCGATTGATGAATTAGCTGCAGAGATAAAAAAAGACGACACAATACTAATAAGTGTAAAAAACCAAAAACTGCTACGTACATGTTTTCAATTAATAACATCCATTGGCATATCATCATCTTTGATAACAGGCCTGGGGATAAGTCTATCAAAGAGATCCATTACTGCATCTAAACTTCCGCGCTTTTTATTGGCGGGTGAACAAAAATATGAAATACTCATGAACTGCACAGACTTCTTCACAAGAAGCTATAGTGTCCCAGTGCTTAAAAACATCATAATCACTTTACATTTGTCAGATTATTTAGCATCCCTAATCCAACTGGCATTTGCACCACTTAAAAAACCTGGTACTTATGACAATTTTGTTATGACAGAAGAAAAGTACAATAAATTGTGTGCTGATAGACAAAAGTATGTAAAAATATATAATCATCTTACAACTAATTGTTTTCAACCAATTCTTATGAAGGAATTGTTGGTATTACAAAGTTGTACTGATCCAGCTCCTCCGGTTTTTGTTAAAAGAGTTATTGTGAAGGAGATGAGTCAAAGACTACTTGCATCAGGTGGCTTGCTAAGTCTAATTCGATGTTTTATAGAAAGTTATGATATAGATACTGGGTTTGAATGGAGAAAAATTGATATGATCTGCAGGATCATTGCTGCGAAACATGGCACTTGTACTGAGAGTGATTATTTGATTAATATCTGTTCTCAGTTGAAGCAGATATTGTGCTTGAATAATATACATTACTTAGCCACTGCTGTTGCCTGTGTGTTGAGTCTCAATGAAAAATATCCAAAATCAGAACCTGTTGATAGTTTGGTCAAAGAAATATTCCAGGCCTTTGATTATGATTGTTTGCTTACAAGTTATAATTTACCTGGTACCATAATATATTCACCACAAGAAGTTGAATACAAAATCAATATACTACATGCTTGTGTATGCACTACAAGATTAAATTGGCCAATTTCATTGCTGATTCCCAATCTTTATCTTATGTTCTTAATTGGAGTAAAGTGTACTAAAAATGAAGATTTGAAGATCAAAATCAAGGATATTTTACTAAAAAGCTTAGAAAAAATTGATAGAGAAAAACTGTGCGAAAAGGTTAAATTTTTTTTATTTGGCAAAGGTTTTTACAAGTCTCCAGGAATAATAGCAGAAGAGTATGAAGCAGGTGTTGTGATAAAATACCTTGCATTGACTGAGATCCATTCGAAAGATGAAGCTCTATTGTATTTCTTGCACTTATTTAAAGCAACAACAGATGAGGAACTTATTCTAAACATATTCAAAGTATCATTAAATGTATTAACAGAACTTAGTGTCAAAAGACAAATGAAAGGAAATAAAGATATACTTCTTACTGAAGATGATCCAGAAGTGATATTAGATGACATAGATCAACAGTATGCAGTTGTTCTAAAGCTTCTTTCAGAGATATCAACATCATCTAAAATTATCAGCTCTTTGAAGAAAAATCCTTTGACGGTAATGGACTTTGTGCAGCATGTTATATTGAATGAGAATGTTGAATCAAACAGTGACTGTGTTACAGTCGCTCTCATCCTTCTTAATATAACTTTATCAAATTGCAACAAATCAACAGATTTTCAAAGGAGATTTAGTAACTTGGTACCGATATTAAGGAAAATGTGTGAGTCTGATTCAAATATGGACAGCATACTTTGTCAAGAAGCAATTTCTCTAATAACTTCAGGAAATCCTAAAAAAAGAGACTCGCCTTGTGAGAGAGCAATAACTGACATATTTGATGAACTGCTACCTGTAAAAGCTCATGGAATAATTGAGTTAACTAAACTTATTGATAACAAAGATGCTGAAACCATTTCTAAAAAACATTACATATTTTGTATCTTCCAGGTAAGTACCCAATTGAGTGATAATGCAACATCTGTAACATGCATTGATTTTTATGGGCTTTAACTTTATCTCAATCTGAAAACATATATTTTCAAAAAAATTAAAGTATCTACAAGTATGCTTATAGAAATTTACAAAAATTTGTCACCTGTTAACTAGGTAACACCTTTTTAGTCTTAAAACTGTTACTCAGATATACTTATTTTTACTTAAAATTTAATAAGGTCACAGTGTTGAATGATTTTTGATATAAGTAATCTTTATTCAACTTTAATTATTTTTATTCATTTTCATGATTTTTTTTATTAAAGAAAATTATTTTAAAATAATTCAGACACTTCCAAACTTTCATTTGAAATTAATGCACAATCAAAATTATGTTTATCCATTTATATGTTACCTCTTTTTATCACTGAATTGGTAATCTTCATTTTTATCTTAAGTGTAGAATTTTCTACTAAACACCTACTAAAAAAGATGATATTTTCAGGAACAACTTAGAGATTCCGATTCATACCTTTATCTAGCAGCTATAAATGGTCTGGCCGCACTATGCACACTATGCACTGAAGATGTACTCCATATGTTATGTAAAGAGTTCTTACAAATATCCAACCAAGGAGCTCTTGAGACCAAAGATAATCAAGACAAGATTGCAGAGCTGAGGATGAAAATTGGTGACATTATAGTGAAGGTTACCAAGAGATTAGGTAAGTGCATTTGCTTAAATAGGCTATGATCTTTATGTTACAGTATTGTACATATATATAGCGTTACAACTTTTAACAGTCTTAAGTTATGAATTTTTATTACTAGAATTGACCCTCTAAGCGCGTAACAGCCGCAGCATGCGCGCCAACGCGCTGTCGGCGCCCTTCTAGGGTAGGTATAGTTAAACCGCCGTAAGCTTGGCCCCCCTGATGGTTTGCGGGACGCGGGGCGGGTGATGCGCTCGGCTATACATGACACGATGTACTAACTCGATATCTTCAGATTTATTTGTTTGAGATTTAATCTACACACAATGTAATAAAAATCGAATTTGTTTCCATGTATTATAATTATAATGTCAGTGTATTTTAAGTTTTTATGATTAATTTTAAAATTTAATACTGTAAAATAGTTTTAATAAAATTACCTTATCTTCATCATGCAAATTATATTCAGATACAATTTAAAAATTAAGTAAAATAATAAATATTCTTTATTAGAACTTAGCAGTAGAACCTCTGTAAGCCGAACTTCAAGTTTTTAAATCTTTTTGTGACGCAGAGTCGGCAGATAATCCATATTGCTAAATAATACCGTGTGTAGCAGTCTTAAGAAAAATAACACGTACAGCCATGCTTTCGCGTCAGTCACTGCCGGCGAACAGCGACGCACTAGCTAATTGGTTGAATGCACCCCCGCCCCGCGTCCCCCAAACCATCAGGAGGGCCAAGCTTACGGCGGTTTAACTATAGGAGGGAGGCCGCGTCACCTACCGACTGACGCAGGTACTTACTGGGCATGGCTACTTCGGTGAGTACGGCATCGGAAGAGGGCCGATCCCGAGCGCCAGGTCGCAAAAATGCGATCGGGCCGCATCATATTATAATGATTGAGCCGATAGGCGGGGGAAGCCCGCAGCTTCCCAAGAATAGGGCATTATTAGGTGTAACATGGTCCGGGTCCTCCTTTTTTTTTTTTTTCCGTGTTGAAATCTCCTCGGATACCACCTGTCGGCGGCATGTCGGACTCGAACCGACTAAAACCGCACGCCGTCTCAGGTACTAATAGCCGGGGAACCAGGTATACCCTAGAAAGGAAGTCCCTGGTGCCCCGACATACCTCGGGTCATCTATAGACGAGTAGACGACCCCCCCCCCCCCCCCCCCGTGTGGGAACCCCATGTTCCCTGTGCTCCCTGGAAGCGAGCGCGCTTCGCAACGCGCTCGCCGCCACCCCGGCCTGCTTCTGCTAGGGTGACAGATGGCCTCACCTGTCACCCCCAGGCCTGCGCTTATGGAGAACGGAGGTCGTTCTGCGACCTCCGGCGCCTGAGTTGCCTGCGGTACCTGGCCCGTTCCCGGGCCTGGCTGGCCGGGAGAGTCCTAAACCTCTCCCGGTCCCGCTCCGCCGTCTCCTTCACAAGCATAACTTGCTCGCATCAGGAGACGGCTGAGTTCCACGCACTCTTGCACCGCACGATAGCCGCAATCAGGCTATCGAGCGAGAGAACTCCCACTCCGAAGGCCGCCACGAGGTCTCGCCTCTGCTGAACCCACGGTCTGGCCATCGCAGTGGTGGCACTCAAGCGTTGGCTCCTTGCGGATCAGACACAGGTGATCCCCGAAACATCCTTTCCCAGTGATCACCTGCGTCAGTCGGTATGAGAGGGTCCCGTGACGCCTTTCGAGCCAATCCTCCATAACGGGTCTTACCGCCGCGATGACGGCGTGCCCGAGGTCCGGGTCCTCCTCGGAACAGGGCGCCTGAGTTCAGCCGTCGAGGTGGTTTTTAGTCGAAACACCACATAATCCTGGCTTCTATATCCCCAAGGAGCCGGCGATCCGATGGGATTTTCCAAACCGTCACGAAAGAAAAAGGCGATGACGGCAAGGAATGCGGGGAGCGGGTGATCGAGTCCATGCCGCTACGTATCATATGAATTATATGCATCTCTATGCATATAATGCATATCGCATTGCACTTCTAAGCAATGCAACCTAAAACTCATACCTATATGTATAAAAAATAAACTATAGTAATCACGATTAAAAGTTGCTAAAAATATTATCAGGCGTTTTCATTTTTTTATTATTTGGAAAATTAAACATCGACAAAATCTTGTTGGTACCTAATAAATATTAGTTTGGACGACAAGGTCTTAAATTATTCTTTACGTATAGTTTTATTTCTTACCCATCACTTTCTGTCGGTTACTTGCTGGCTACTATAGCATATTGAACACGTCAAGTACTCCACTTGGTGATGAAATTTATTTTGAATAAAACATTTGATCAAGATTTTAATTATATGGAAAAAATACACAGCTGTTTTTATTTTGTTCAAAAATGTCGCGATTTTTGTCGGGCATTGCCGACTGCCGTAGCGTCTACTAATAAACGTTAGAAAGGTTAATGTTTGTTTTTGTGACACAAAGTAGGTAGTAGTGCTAGTAACTATATTAGTAGTCAGTAAGTTATGTTTAAAAAAGGCCCCAATTTTAACAAACCTTTATATCTTATACAAAATTAACAAAACCTTTCATATCAAATACTAAATGAAACGCAAATAAAGCTGAAAAAAATACTTACGTACTAATATTTTTTAAGTGAAAACTTTTATAGCCGCGTTGAACGAATTTTGGTAGGGGAGAAACTTACGGGTTCGCGTCACCGATGACCTCCACATGCTCGTGACGTATTGCGCCAGACTAGTCACGCGTAGTTCCATTGTTTTGAGTTTTCACTTCTTTCGGCAGTCCTTATGACTGCCTCTGTTTTTTTGATGTTTTTACTTCATATTTACTTTTTGTTCTAGGTGAAATGGCCGCTGTTCACAAGACTATTCTATTAAATACGATGCTCTGTGCTTGTAGAGATGAAGACCCTCTAATTAGAACATCAGCTTTATCCAATTTGGCTGAGATTTCTCTAGTATTGCACTACAAAATAGGGTCCATAATATACGAGGTGGGCATACTTTAAAAAATATATTGCATACTTTTCAGATAAAGGAGTGATATAAACTACAATTGATACCAAATACTATGATATGAAATTTTTATTTACTGATATTGCATTAAGTGACTTAATTATCCTTTAAATCAAATTATTTTGTGTTTCAATAATTTACGAAATGCTTTATCGTCTAAAAATGTCGCATCTTACCTAAGGCTAAGTGTTGAATCGCGCTTTCCAACGTAGAGTCATTCTTTGTATTATACCGCTAAGTAGGTAGAATACGAAAGTTAATGTTAACTATAAAATTAAATGATCGAAAAACCTTTATGAACATCCATAATCCATACGCCATTTTTTATGAACTAGTGATCCTCACTGCTAAGGCAGAGATTGTGGGATTCTCACTCAAGCAAAATAATTGTGTGATGAGCAAGATTATTTGTTCTGCCATCATCATTATCACCCTTTAGTAGTCTACTGCTAGACTCCTAGAGGCCTCTCCTTAAAAAGAAGGTTTTGGCTTACTATACCACACTGGCCAGACGGGTTGTTATAGGGTTTGTCTTAACTTTTCCTTCTCTTTGCCGTGCTGTTGTCCTGCCTAGTTTGCTCCCTTAGTCGGCTCTTACGACACCCACGAGATGAATAGGGGTGGTGAGACTCCGTATTCTAAATCCGTCACCACATGGCCACTTGTTCTGTGTATGGGCTTAATTTATCTACAATATGCATTTTTTTAGGAATATATAAGTATGTTTATTAGTAAACTAGTCACCATATTTCAGGCTCTGCCTAGGTGGACCAGACAGCCGTGTGTGAGAAGTGTGAGGTTATAATTGTGACTAGGACCTTTGAACGTCCAATCGTGTCTTGCGTATAACTCATAAAAGGATTAAACTAAGACTAAATGTATTATTATTTTAGGTGTTGCTGTGTATTTGGAGTATTATAGAGACCGATAAGGCCGTGGAGTGCCGGCGAGCCGCAGTCATGGTTATAGCAAGTTTAATCAAAGGATTAGGAAAAGAAACTTTAGTTGAGCTAAAGGAGAATTTACTACCCATTTACAGAACACTAAAAAGCCTTTACAGAGACAATAATGAAGACTCGATTCTTAGACTTCACGCACAGTTAGCATTAGAAGAATTAAACGATGTCGTCAAGCAGTTTCTGTTCCCTGAATTGAAAACGGAAAAGCAAATATTTGTATTGGACAAACCTTAGGATGTATGAAAATAAAAGACAATACATTTTAGATTTGTTTTAATCACACACATTGTTTTATTTGTATTTACTTAAGATTACCTTTAAAGGAAGCAGTCAAACAAGCAAATAAGCATTTTTTATATGCTCAGTCTGTGGATTTTAATGACGATTTAAAACTAGAATGCATTAAAATGTTGAATTCTTTAAGATACTTTAGATTTTCATATAAGTAGATGTGCTGGTAAATATATGTTTAGCAAAATAGTGTTTTTTTTTCCTGACTATAAAGGACGTCACGTAATTCAAACACAAATGCCTTTAATAAATACCAAATTTACTAGAAATTTGTGTAATAATTGACATTTGTATGTATTTTACGTTACATTTGTAATATATATCGCTTGTAAGCTCAACATGTTCGCTTTCTCGTGCCTACTTGTCACGATTTCTAAACAAAAGTATCATCACTAATATAATCTATGGCAATCGTAGCATTGATGTTTAGTGATCCGAGTGCATTATAACTACTGGCCACATATTATAGAATATTCTAATTGTTCCTTACAAATATATCAATATAATAATCTTAAATTATGAGAAACAGTATATTACTCTATTAGCTTCTTTTTTTAGACACTTCATATTTACATTTTTGAAGTCATCTGACATTCATATTTAGTTATCATAATGTCAATTTGTCATTCGCATGACAAAATGTGCATTTATACGTATAATTAAATTATTCAATCACAATAATTTTAAATAATCACGCTTCAGATGTATTATCTCCTTCATTTGTTTTTTTGGCATTTTCATCTTTCTCTGACAAAGTAATAGAATAAACTGAACTTATGTCTGAGAACTTATCTCTATTCCGACGTCTGAAGATGCCACTCCGAGCCAGGGAGGAAACTGTGCCTACTGATATATTGTCCTTTTCAATTTGCGGTACCATTTTCCATATTAAAAGAGCAATGCCGCCAAAAGCGGCCACTACCAGAAACATCACCAGCGTGACCTCACCGAACACGTCTGGAACAATAGCATGGTATATTTTAACACAAAAGTAAAATCAAATATTAGTACGATTTTCTTATCAAAGAAACCGTATTCGCTGTAAGCAGAAAAACTTACTAAGTATTAAACTGTCCATTAAAATATTCTTAGAAACGTAGTGAACGAAGCTACGGAATAATGGAGTTAATAACCATCTCTATCTGGATTTGTGATTCTAATATAGGTAATCAAACAGATATTTTAATTATGTTTGCGTCCATTTTACGGTCCTGGTTTATTTATTAACAATAATTACAGTACATAGCGTTAAATTTTTAAATAAAATATTTTAAAACTACGTGCTTCTATGTCGTGAAAATGTTAAACTCTAAACAATGATTTTGTTTCCAAATGTAAATATTTAGAACGAAATATACCAATACTTCAAACTGCCGTTTCTATAGAATACTTTGTAAAGTACGGCTTAAGTACGTCTTTATTGTAAAGAAACGGCTTTTTACTTTTCTGTTTTTCGTAAATCGGTTTATCTGTAAAAGCTTAACAAACAGATCAGAGAGTTACTTTCGCATTTATAATGTTAGTAGGGATTATACGTTAAATACCGAATCTTTATTTACTATTATACATTCGTAGGAATAGAATACAAACTTTGTTGTGTGTCTTCTTTCTGGGCTTCAAGTCTGGCTGGCTGTAGTTCATTGTAGTCCATCTCCTGGTTCTCGTACGGTTCCACGGACCCGCGGGAAGGTTTACTTTGTTGAAGCACGTCCCCAGGGTTGGATTTAGGTAGGTTAATGCCGGCTCTGACTGTTAATGTTTCTGGCTTGTATGTGCACAGTACTAAAAAGCTGAAAGAATCGTACTAAGTGTTAGTTATCATTGAAGGAAGAAGGCTTTTTTATATTTATATATGAAAGATATTATATAACGACAAGATAAAGCCTAGACTAAGAAAATATTCGATTGTTAGTGATTGAAGGATGCCTTTTCTTTTTTTCGCAGTGGGTAACTCACAAATTCACTTAAATATTAATATGCATATTATTTTATGTAACTACTTATATCCACTTACCGTCGAGTACTGTGTGTCAGTATAGGTAGATTTTCCTGGACGATAACATATGTAGCGACTGTGGTATCATTTACTTCAGAACCACATTCGTCGTGGTGTATACGTAAAATATAGGCGTCTTGGGAGCTGTTTGGATTGCCCTGTAAAGAACAACGTTCGGGCCCACCGTCGACTGCTTCCACCGCGATGCGACCTCCAAAGTAAGGACCCGTCGATACTTCAACTTCACTTGCGTGCGGTAAGCATTGGGTTGCACGGGCTGAAACTAGATAATTATAACATTGGTTATTTAAACTATCAAGATTGCAAACTACCAGACAGCTCGTAATATATGTAGTGAGCGGGTTTCAGTTTAATAATCGCAACAACATCGTCTTTATAAGCGAACCCTCTCCTCCTCAACAGTATTATTTCTTAGAGACGCTAGGAATTTTGGGTTACTATTTGTAGGTCAATTCTCGTAATAAAAAATCGTTTAAAATTCGGTTCCGATCAACTCTCGATCACACAAATGTCTGACTGTAATGTGATTATATCGTATCGTAGCCGAAAGTTAAATATAAGGACGGCTGTTCTTATCAAGGAAACCGTATTCATCGTAAGCAGAAAAATCTACCAAGTGTTAAACTGTCAATTTAAATATTCTTAGAAATGTGTTTAACGAAGCAGAATAAATAATAAACAGAATAAAATAACCATCTCTATCTGGATTTGTGATATTAATAAGTATTCTACTAACAACTAGTCTAAGTGATACTTTGCAAACTAGAATGCCTTTTATGACATTTGTGAGATCGAGAATAGATCAGAACTGAATTTTGGACGAATGTTTATTACGATAATTAACCTTCTTGTGTTTAGCCGAATGTTGCATTCTAGCCGTTCCAGGGATTTGGAATAGGTATTTTTCTTCGAAAATGACCAACCTTGTGTATAAAAAATTTAATAAAATTAGGTAGGTATAACCAATTAAGCATTGAAATCGTTTCACAAGTGGGGAAGATATCGCCTAAGCAACACACAAGAAAAATGTTTGACAACATTCACTTTTATTAAAGTCGGCCGAGTCAGATAATGCCGAAGAGACATCACTCGGCCGGGAGCGCTGCCTAATATAATGTGGCATTACATGTAAGTATTCACCATTAGTTGAACCACCCAATCAGAGAAAAACCTGCAAACAACAAACCCCCCCTCGCACTGATGCATGAGGGGAGTGATTCAAAGGGCGGCAACACACTTGTGGCTCTTGAGTTGCAAGTGTTCATGGGCGGCGGTAGTCACTTACCATCAGATGACCCGCCTGCTCGTTTGCTCCTATACATAAAAAAAATATACCGTCAACCACTATCAGATATGCTTATCTCGATCGATTTTATGGTACCTAATTTGTATAAGATCGATTTCTACACTAACCCTAACAATTAAATTTGAATGGTAAAATAATAATAATACTGCTCTCTCATTAAATCCTTAAAACTACTACTAAATACTTAGTTGAAACTTACATCCTTTTGTAGGGACGATAATTATTTTAGAACCGATAGATTTCGGATCAGCAAGGTCACGAGCATCTCGTCGAACCGGGCGTACTTCGAATGAGTATGTTGTAGCCATGCGTAAGCCAATAATCCGTGTACTGTATACGCGTCCGTGCCGATTGCCACTAGATCCTGCAGGCTGACTAGTTGTTGTAGATTCTGTCGTACTTGTAGTTCTACTGGACTTTTCCTCTTCAACTGTATCTATTACCTAGAATTAGAGTGTCATTAAATTATTTTAAATTATTAAATTATATGATAAAAGACTATAACTTAAATATAATATAACTATAAAACAAGAAGACTTCACTTCTGGCTTTGTCATCAGGGTTGGTATAATTACCCCAAAACAATGAGAAGTATACTAGTAGCCACGTTTTCCCTATTTACCTTCATCCATCATTAGGTCAGGTTCTAAGATGCGAAATTGAAAGAATTGTGTGACTTGAAAAGTAGGTAAAATGAACGTGTCAAAAGGGGATGGAGCATCTCCTCCCTCAGATCTAAATCAAAGCGCCCCGTGCCAATATCATTTGACTTAAATTAACTGCTCCAAACTGCTAGAACAGTTTGGCGAATGAATACATTTTGTGAATTGTTACTTAAATGTGAAATAAGTTTAGGTATTAAAAAAAAGTTGCCGATGTGTCTCGGTTATCGCTGCAATCTATTAAATAAGTGATAGTTTCCTATTTTTACATCATTGTAATAAATATTGATATACTTTATGATACTGTCTGCCAATTTGTTAGAAAATCCAAAAATGGGTCAGTTTGTAAGAACTAGTTATCGCAAGAAGGTCGACTTTCGACCGTTATTCATTAAATTATTTACTGATGACAATGAAGCACCGGGCTCAAAGATAGGGAAAAAACGGTTACCATTTTCTATGTAGACAATACTAAACACAGCTCGTCTATCTATTAAACAAAAAAATAGAGGAGAAAAAGGTACTACCTACTGAAATATTTTCTTATTTAGGTGTAAAAAGGGATATTTCATATGAAAAGTACTTATAAAATGTAATAGTTTTAGAAATATAAGCACAGCGGTTGTAGTATATTGACAAGTAAATACAGTAATGACTGGAGGGCATGTTCCTTGTAGCAGTCACGGTCAGCGCACAAACTCCGAGCCCATTATCTCCCGTTTCGGAGACAACTTATCGCAGTTACAAAATGCTGTAGATTGTCACCGTGTTTAATAATATTGTATCACACCAGGTTGTTATCTTGTGTAACGTAAGTTTAGCCTGAAAATACTTACTTACCTACTCATGTTATAACAACCAAGGAAAAGTATAATGAAAGATTATTTTATCCGTAAAGAATGAAATCCGTAAAGTATATTCGGAATTTAAAATATTTTCATTCCTTTTTGTTTTTTGACTGTTAGTGTAGTTGTAGGTACACTGTCTATTATTTACAATTAATTAAATACTAGTGGAAAGAAACTTCGGAAAGAAAATCTACACAAGTTTACCTGTGTTCTGCAACGATACTGCCCCCACGCCTGCAGTTCGCAATAATGCACTTGAAACGCCAAAGGTTTCGATCGATCATCGTCGTCTTGTTTGCCATACTCCCACCGCAATCTGACGTCGCGAAAGTCAGGTTCCCCAATAAGATGCAATACTTCTGAAAATTACATTAGAAAACTATAGAAAAAATTGCGATTCAATAATAAATGAAGGGGTGTAAAACGTCATGCTCCGATGCGTAGTTAGTAGATAGTAAGTTATGCAGCAATCCGGACGTGCCATTAACCCAATGACTTGCTCACTGAGCCGTTGTTGCTTCCAATAATTATAGAATCATCACGTAATGGGATCTCCATTGCTCCAGTTTTGTGACAACCTACGCACAGTTTGCCAACCGCCTTGTATAATATACATATTAGCCATAGTCTACTCAATTTCAATTAAACAGAACAATTTTATCTCCAAATTATTACACCAACACACTATTACTTAATACATTTCGTTTCTCAAATGAAAAATATAAACCTATCCTATTTAAAAGAAAAATTACCATTTATCTACATTATGATGTAGATCACGACTCACGTATCCTTATAATATCGTCATTGAGTTATAAAGTCTATTAATAAGTTAACAGTAGGTGGTATCTACTCAAACGATTTTAGATGTAGAAAGTGTGAGCAAGCATTAGGTATATCTGTGTCACTAAATATAAGTATGATGGATATGCTAGTTCATCAAATCATTTAAGCAAAACCCGGCGATTAGCTTTGAATAAATTAAACTTGACAGTAGGTTGATTTTTTCACAAGATATATTTATCTACTGTGTTTTCATTCAAGAAATTGTATAGGTAATCTGTATTTGAAAATAAATTTACATATTTATGAGGTATGGTACTAAAGCAATATGATCGAGACAGGAGTTTCTTAAATATTAATTTTAAAAGTTTAAGATCTTCTTACATGCTTAAGTTACCTAGATGTATATATTGAGATTACTATACTTATTTTTATTAAGTGCTTTTCTGTAGCTTTTATATTATGAATTAATAAAATACTCTGTGTGTGGGCGTACTGATTTTTGGACGTACCTACTATAAAAATAAATGAAAATAAATAATCAAATTAACAACATATAGGTACTTTTTAGTTGTCAGGAGTAGGTGTCAGAATAAGTTAGTTGCTATTCCAATTGGCAGATCGTATGGAGAAGAAAAGTCAAAACACTCTAAGTGGTTATTTGTGTCTTGTTGATGATTATGTGATTCTTTCATATAATCATTTTTCCAAATTATTAATAAGTGCAGCATTTGTTCATAAACAATGACGCCATCGTTCCTTTAGTTAACTTATTAAATATACAAAATTAACTTATTTGTGAAACAATTTCAAATGGGCAATGGCAGTTATTGAGTTCTTCAAAATCATACTGTAATTAAAGCTGCACATGTCAGAGCTTTTTTTTTCGCAAGCATGTCAAACTTTGTAACATTTAATTTCTTAACAAATTCATGATCATGATTAACCACAATATTTAATGAAAAGTCATCCTATTAATAATTACGACATGGTAAATCTAGACTATTTTCTCAATTAACTATTACAACATAATGCTATATTTTTCTAATTATACTATTATTTAATAATAACCATCATGTGAGATTCACATCTGTTCTCTCTCGGTGAATCGAAGTTTTAAAGGTTATTTTGTTCCGTTTTATAGAGCTGAGAAAGGCTTATGAGGTTACAAGACCGTTACGAGTTACAAGACGCTGTCCTATAAGAATACCATAAAATTAAATGCGAGCTCTCGGTGGCGTTCTTTTTTATCTTGTATATAAAATGCAAGAACAGGATCTTACATTGTTTTAAACGTTTTAACATTATCTCAAGTAGGACAATTTATGTACCAAGACCATCAGGTTTGTGAACAGGATTTTTACAAACAAGAACATGGACCACGTACGAATTAATTGGGGAAACGAGCTCTAAAACATGTATTTATATTAGTATCAATGATCGCATGGCCCCCTTTTCTCCTCTCTCCTCGATGGGATTCAACCAATTCTTCTCGCTACTAAAAATAAAAAACTACACTTTATAATGCCCTTTAACCCTAAATGTATACGGTGGAAGTACGTTTTTTTTTCGGGAGGTACCTTACAGGATTACAACATTGTCTTTGGTTTTTAAACTAAACAAGGGTAATTTAAACTTAAACAAGATATTTCTGTAATATCTCCTGGTGTTTATTACCCCCATCTCCTCTGTCGTTCGCAATATTACCTAAATGATAGTTAATTAATTATACAGACATTATAACGGAGATGTCTCAGCGGATTTCAATTTCCGTGCACATTTATGAAAAAAATTAGGTTACTATATTTAAGCCATTGTAATGTAAACTAGATAGTCTACTATTATTATGTATTTATAAAATACTCTGTGTGTGGGTGCTAATGCATCCTCTTTTTATTCCTAAACCTGAACATGAAACACCATATCTAGAATGACAACTCAAAAGTTCATCATTTCGGAAAAATACATCAATATTTTGCCGAAATGATGAACTTTCGAGATGTTGCAAAAAGATTCTCTTTTTAAATGTAAATTATCGTTTCAGATTTTAAAAATATTGGGGTTATAGAAAATTCTAATAAAGTATTGTAGCCGAATATAAATAATGGATATAATTTTGTTGCATGTAGGTTGATCGCATTAAGCGGGTTTACTGTCTTACTTTACTGTACTTACTAAACATTTCAATGTTTTATGTAGCCTTACAGTTGTTATTTATTTAAACACATTTTTTATTTATTTAGTGAAACGGCCTTAACATTAATAAATAACAGTAATAAATTTAATATGTAATACAAGCCTAGTGCATCTACCTTCGAAATATTTACAGACAGTAGACGGAAGTTGAATATTAATGATCTTTGTAATTTAAAACGTCCTTTCCATTCGAAGACATTATTTCCATCGGTGAATAAAATTGTGAACGACTGTTTTTTTTTTGCTTTATTTCCTCTTGATTGGCAATGGGTATCTATACTTTTGCTATCCAATAAATCCAATAAGTAGTAGCCAAAACTGGGCTTCAGTATACCTTTAAAATTTTCAAATACGCTTAAATATATTTTTGTGTTTTGAATGCGAGACCCTACTCCCCGGTTAGACATATATGTAATACAATAAAATTGCCATGTATATCACCAATTTAGCCTCAACAATATCGCGCAATTTCAAAATAATAGCGAAACCGAGGACTCAACACTCGACGTTACTAATAAACAAGCGACCAAAAACAGATAAAGATAGTTATTCTTATAATAAAAACGGTCTTGACTTGAGAGAGCCATGCGACGACATAGAAAACCGGTGTTAAACAATTGTTTCCTTGGTGAATGGGGACGTCAGCAGAGGCCCCACGACCAACTCCGGTGAGGATCACTTGTGCCTCTTAACTTAAAACCTAAGTTGCAGGAGTTACTTATCATTCGGAATATAATTCAATTAGTAAAAATAAGGAGATCAATATGTTTAGATAGATGGATATCTTTATTTGTACACCAGAGTTTTATCGACATTATAAAGTAATTAAACGAACAACACATGTAATGTACAAAGGGCGACCTTATCGCTTAGAGCAAATTCTTTAAGGCAACCTTTGGATGGGCTGGATTCATTTTTAACCGGTGGTGATAGGAATACAGAAACTAGAGTAATAACCTATGAAATACTTATTATATAATCCTACTAATCTATATTTATACATTAATACTATACGTACATACATTAATGTATACATACACTAATTTTTAACTATGGGAGACGTATAATGCTCATACAACATAGTTTTGAAGGTGGTTACGGATTACGCACGTCGGATAGAAACCGGCAAGATTAAGTTTACCTTCCTTTAAAAATAAACTATTATTGTTAAGCTGAGATATACGTATAAGGATTTTTGATTGTTTTTTATTGTAGATTTTATTAGAAGTTATTATTTGCGAAAATGTAAGCACAAGTTTTTTTTTAAGTTAGGGAAAGCCTTACGCTTCCCACTCTCTTTTATTATTATGCTTTCCGTGGCAACCCGTAATTAAGGCATCGCTAATGCTTGTATGTCACTGCCATTGTATCTCTTGCTTTAAAGGTATGTTCTTGTTGGTTGTCCAAATAAATAAAATAAAATAAAATCATTAGGTGAGCTGTCTGCTCATTTGTCTAAATAATGACGGGCCTGTTGGTCCAGTGGTTAGTGACCCGGAGGTCGTGGGTTCGATGCCCACCCAGGCCAAATATTTTTTTATAGCGATGTGATGCTATTAACTAGTGCTGCGAATATAAACGACTCGCTTGCTGAGCGTGGTGACCTCACAAAACTGTCCGTTATGTGTGAGTGTTATGACGGTTCACATGCCTTCGCAATTTTTGTATACGACGCATCTAAGTGTGAAGGGTACGGTAGCTCTCATTTTCCCTTTCGAATTATCCGAATAGCTACCAAATAACAGGTCCTACGACCTACATTGTATTGAGGATCATTGGGATCTAACATCGAAATACAGGAGATTATTCAGATCCTTTAAAATATAAAAGGAAAGTTTTTACAGATCGAATCAATAGTTTTTACAATAAGCCCGTAAGCCAATATTAAATATATTTTCAACTACAAGACCAGCCGTAATAAGAAGTTTTCGTTGTTAATTATCAACTAGCCTATATGTACTATACCCTAGATCTAGTATCCTAGATCTACTTACATGTAATTTAATTTATTACACGTGGTAACTATTCATCAACAGCCTTATCTAGTCAACTGCTGGACATAGGCTTCTTCGTAGAAAGAAGGTATTGGTCTACTATACCACGATGGCCAGATGGGTTCCGCAAACCCCGGTGGGGTGACGGCCGGAGGGGGATTCCACAGGTAAAAATAAATAAAAAGGGTTTGTTTCAAGTTTTCTTTTTCTTTTCAGTGCTATTCTTGCATAGTTTGCTCCCTTAGTCGGCTCCTACGACTACTTACTCACGGGATGAGTAGGTATAGTGACACTCCGTGTTCTTAATTAGTCACCGGATGCAACTATTACAGCACTATTACACCAAACAATTAATAATGAAGCTTTCATCTGTAAAATAATCGAGGAAACATCACCTTACTTTTCATTCTCAAAACTATGGTCCTTTCATTAAAAGGCCAACCCAGGCCCTATACTGCACTCACATAGTTCTCTTTAACATTGTACAAGGACTAAAAAAAAAAAACACCACTGTGGTTTGTTTTGGAATTTTTTTCCAGAGAGAGTCTTTGGAAATGCCGGCGCCTTCTAGCTATAAAGTCCGAC